AGCTAGTAGGCATAAGGTCTCAAGTTCAAGTGCTGGCGAGGGCACTACAGATTTTTCACCTACTCTGCTCCAAAATGAAATGTCTAAAGGTGTAATGCAAATGAATATTGTTTAGTAATTTATTTGAATTAACTGAGTTCTGAGTGGTTATTTTCACAATCGGAGAACTTTTTAAAAGCAGTTTTTACCGATCAGTTTGGGCTAAATTGCATTGATAAACTAGTCATAAAAAATGGCAATAAAGAAAAATTCATATAGGTTTTTCACAAGCTTATTAATCAGTAAACTGTTAATTTCCTTTGAATACTGAAAAAATATTAAAGAAAGATTAAGTTACAAATTTAAATAACTTAATTTTGGTAATTTTTATATTGTTTTAGAAGCAATATAGCTTTAGTAGCATCTACTTTCTTGTATCCTTCAAATTCAGCAGATTTAATTCTGAAGTTGGGGGGGTGGTTGGGGGGGGGGGTTGGGGGGGGGGGGGGGGAGGGGGGGGGGGGGGGGGGGGGGGGGGGGGGGGGGGGGGGGGGGGGGGTGGTTGGGGGCGGGGGAGGGGGGGGGGGGGGGGGGGGGGGGGGGGGGGGGGGGGGGGGGGGGGAGGGGGGGGGGGGGGGGGGGGGGGGGGGGGGGGGGGGGGGGGGGGGGGGGGGGGGGGTGGGGGGGGGGGGGGGGGAGGGGGGGGGGGGGGGGGGGGGGGGGGGGGGGGGGGGGGGGGGGGCGGGGGGGGAAGGGGGGGTGGGGAAGGGGGGGGGGGGGGGGAGATCATTGGGGGTGCAAGATAGTAGGTAGGCAATTCCATTTCATTGTATCCTTCAAATTCAGCGAGATTTATTCTGAAATAGATAAGTATATGATCGATTAGGGAAAGAGAGTGAGGTAGGCTTCCATTTCAATTGCTAGGTTCATTTTAGGTAGCCTTTCTTTGTGCTAGGTAACTTTCTAACCAACCAATCAAAAATAGGTGACCTCTTCAGATAATTTCCGTTTATTTAAGAAATATTGGCTAAAAAATAATAGCTATTCTATAACTCGGCTCATGATATCTTTATATGCTGTCATTAAGCAACATGCGAAGCTATTATGAAATAAATTTCTGGACACATTGATGTTATTGGAATTTTGGACACAAAGCAAACATAAGACCAAAATTGTTACTTTTTAAAAATCCATTACTTATATGAAACGACTATATTTGTATGAAATATGTTATCATATTTTAATAATATATTTATAAATTTTATAATTTGTAAAGGATACGTTTAGAGGTATTTAAAATACAAAAATTTCTGAAGGCACGTTGCTGGGAAACACATTACAAGTAATGGTAATTCATGCAGCGCATTCTATACTCGAGTGGCAACAGTGAAATGTTCGTGCAGTGCTTTCTTTATGTGAACGACTTACGAGGGCCATCCAGGAAGTAGATTACGTTTCCGTCTGTGTCCGCTAGGGGCGGGGCTAGCGCGGCCATCTTGGGGTCAGAGCGTTGCGCAGCTCAGTCTGCATCTAGCCGTGTAGTGAGAGGTTCGGCTGTGCTCCGTTCAGATACTGTGACGGTTTGAAATGTCTGCGTTAATTGAAAATCCCGCGAGGGTGCGCTCAGTAATAAGGTTTTCTGACTGCAAAAAACTGTAAACCGATAGAAATCTATCGGCAGCTTCGTGAAGTGTATGGGGACAACATTATCACTGAAGGTGGAGTGCGTCAGTGGGTCATAAGATTTCAAAATGGCCAAACCAATGTTCACGACGAAGATCGAAGTGGGAGACCAGCATAGTGACCGCCGAACTTCTCGAAAAAGTCGATGCTAAAGTCCGTGAAAATCGAAATTTCACAATAACGGAACTTTCTTTGAGTTTTCCACAAATTTCGCGAAGTTTGTTGCACGAAATCATCAGCGAAAAGCTTGGTTACCACAAGTTTTGTGCAAGATGGAAGGCAAGAAGAGGTAACGAAGGTGGTTGAAGGCGCAGGCGGCCGAATTTTTCGACGAAGGAATTTCCAAGCTCGTACATCGCTACGATAAATGCCTTAATTTGTATGGTGACTATGTAGAAAAGTAGTATTTGAGTGTGGCTTTCATCTGTATATAATAAAATTTGTTTCCTATACTTTGTTTATTTTTTTATTCCAAAACGTAATCTACTTTCTGGATAGCCCTCGTAAAATTACTTTTCCTTCTTAGAAACTAATCCACAAAAGGCCCTCTCTCGAAACAAGCAATTTTCACATATTTGTTAAGCTTTAAGTAAGTTTAAGGATAATTTTTACTTTTCTTTTGTTTCATTAAATTGTTTTTAATAAAAAATACTTTTCAAGTATTAAATATGTAAGTTCATTTCAGTAATACCATTACTTTTTAATAACCAATACTTTTTAATAAGTTGCAAGTAAATAAATTTACAAGTAAATAAGATTAGTTGAAGTACACACATTGCCATAAAAATTTGCGCACCTAGAAAGAATTGTCAGAATCGAACAAAATTATATGTGAGTAAACGTTATTTTAAGTAAGTGATTACGAAATCAAAGCGAAAGGATACTTTGTTATAGGGAAAACTACAAATAAATTGTGGTTCTATTATCCTGTTAGGTCACCTCTAGCTCGAACGGATGACGCGATATATTCGGGCATTAAGACATACAGGTCCCATATGATGGCCCGTGCTTTCTCATACTGAAGCTGCTGTAAATACGCCTCTAGTTCGAACAAACGCCTAAGCTGTTCAGCTTGCAATGCTAACTCCTGGGCTGTCCAACTACTCAGACATGCTCGATCATTGACAAATATGGGAATCGGGTAGGTCAAGGAACGGTGGTATTGTGTCGGAGACATTTCTCTGAGACCCTTGCTGTGTGTGGCCAAGCATTGTCCTCTTGAAAAATGGCTCCGGACAGCCCTGGCATGAGAGAAAGCAGATGTAGCTGAAGGATGTCACGAACGTATCGCTCTGGGCTGTCATAGTGCATTGGATTAACATTAGAGGTTGTAAGGTTCTTATGTTAACTAACCTGATTATGATTTTGATCTTTACTTTAAGTTCTTCTGTCTCACCAGAATCCAAATTAGCTTTAAATGTATTTAAGGGGTATCAGAAACCCCTATACCGACAATGTTAAATTGGCCATTTTCGATGTACCTTTTCTCAAAATCTGCTGTAGATACAAGTTTGAAATTTTTTCTATAATTAAAGTATACCTATGATTATACTGAAATGAGCTTTTGAAGCATTTTGAGTTTAGAGTAAATTACAGAATATTTTGTTAGGCATAGTAAAATTTAGCACTTTTCTCACATAAAAAAAAAAATTTTTTCAAAGTTTATTACAAAAAGTCATTTCAGTAAATATTATAGAACCTAATAAAATAAGACATAAAAAAGTTTAGATACCTGTGAGCAGTAGTTCCTGAGAAAAGGTACATCGAGTATAAAAATATCACGTTTGGAGAAAAACGCGTTTTTATGTAAAAATCCTCATTGATCAAAGCAGTAGATAACAAATTAAAACTAGCTTTTTTTACAGTTCTAACTTTCATAGAGATTAAAGAATGGTATTTTTAGAAAGATAAAAGTGTAGAGAATTTGAAAATGCAAAAATCCGAAATCACAATTTTTTGAAGATTTTGGGGTTCCAACACCCCTTAAGCTGAGGGCTTTTGGATCTTACATATATAGAGAGATAGTTTTTGGCACTCCCGCTGTGCTATTATAATTCTGAAAGTATGTAATTATCTGGAATTTCCATTCTCTCGCAATTAATACTGGGTAAGTTATAGCTCAAAATAGTATTAATTATAGTAGTATGTAGATAGTATGAATGTGTACTCTTCGACTACCTTATCAGCGTTTAAATTTAAGTATCTGGTGTATAATTCATATCGTCTCAAGTAGCGGCTTGTATGTGGCACGAGTCGTGCTCTTTGTGTTAAAAGTTTAGTTTCATAAAAAGGTTCTTTAAACTTTGGCAAGTCTTTGTCGTACTATTTCAAACCTAGCGATAACTCGTTACTTGTCTAGTGGGCTGTAGGATTAAAGTATCAGAGAAAATGCAACCTTATAAAGAGACCAAGTGTCATATGTGGCCACACTACATACTATCACAGCAGCTACGGGAGCGGTCTGTCGCTGTAAAGCGAAGGGAGGATTGAGGTTTTCAGCACGATTGCCTCTACACTACACAGTTGTCACTGCTGCCCGAATTCAATCTCAGTCCTCGTTGATGAGGACCTGGCTCCATTCATTTGCGGTCCACTCCGTCGAGCGCGACGCCAGTCCGAAAGGAGGTGATGGGGGACTGGTGTCATTGGTAACACAGGTAATGGGCCCCTCAATCTAAATATCCTTCAGTTAAGTGTCTCGCAATGGTACTGAAAAATGCAGGGGCCTATATTCAAAGCATACCTCTGTCCAGATGGTGGGACAATGATGAAGTTGGCACTGTGTGTGCGTGTCATGTGCTGCAAAGTGTTCTCGGCTATTGGCTTACCAAGGGCATCCTGAGTCTTGAAGTCGTGTATATGACCTCTTTCTAGTTCACTGAACTCAACACCCGATCACAATAAAGTCAGAATGGCGTAGGTGATAGTCTATTCGCCAAATTGACCACCTATCTTCTATTATCCCAATGATTCTTTCCCTCTCGGACTCTGATAACTGATCATATCGTCGTTGATGGATATGTAACGACTTGAAATGTAATCTTTTCTAACAGATTAAGTACAAGCAAAATGCCTGTTCGTCCCTTTTTTATGCGCTAGGGAAAACGAAGCTTTACGCTGGCCTTGTGGCATTACACAATGCACGACCACACTGTAGTTTTAATCATTTGCATATCTGCCTGTCATGTTTCATCTGGCGTACAGTTTCGATGCCCAGTTTCGCAGCAATCCGAAAATTACTTATTGGTTCTCAAATTTTGACAAGTGAGCGTAAACAGCATTATAGTAAATTATGCACTTTTCAAACCCTGAAAGATTATGTACAGTATAATACTTACCGAACGTGATCTCCTTGCATAAATGTGTTCAAAGGAACCGTAATAGTATCATCCGAATTATCACAGACTATTCGACCTACTTTTACTTTTCTCAGTTCTGTTAATTGCTCTGTAAGGAAATAATATATTTATATAAAACAAATTAAATTTTAGTTTTATAAAGAGCTTAAAATTAAGATTACTTTAGCGATTACTGTCTGAAGACATTTTCATTGAAGTAAATAATAATAAAGACGGTCAAAAAATAACTTATATATATACATATATATATATATATATATATATATATGAGATAAAGCCAAATGAATTAAAATATTGATGTTTAAATGTCAATTAAAGATATATACGTGTAAAGAAAATATAAATTTGTTAAAATTGATCAGTTAAAATAAAATCAAATACTCTTTTTACAAGAAAATAAGAAAGTAAACAATTTTGCTGTAGGAAGTATCTTATTAACTTAGATTTTTATGTACACTATACAACTTTAACAGAAAAAATAATTTTCTTCTGCGTTTAATGCTGAAAAAATTAAAGCTAGTCTGGAGTTCATTTTGAGTATCTCAGTTTCTCAACATTATAAACATTATGAAATTAATTATGAAATTATAAAATTCTATTATTCTCAACATTATGAAATTATAACAGGAATTTCCATATATAAGTTGCGGGATAGTTTTGTGCAAAATAAAGAAAGAGAATTGTATTTAAAAAAAAATAAAATATAAAAATGTTGGATTTTAAACATTAGTTTTGTCTTTCTTAAAGTATATTGCATGTAATTTAAGGAAATGCTCAGGAAGTTTAAATCAACATATTTTTATATTATCTAAAATTATTAGCTATATTTTTATATTCCTGGGAGTTATGTTTTAAAATTGCCATTATAGAAATATTTAGTTGAATAGTAGTATATCATTTTGCAACATATATGGAAAATGAAGTGCTATTCAAATTTGAAAAATAAATTGAAATTATAAAAGTATTAATTAAAAATTTGTTACATATCATACACTAGATTAATTTACACAATTTAGCTACTATTTAAAGAATCATTGTTTCAGTTATTGCCTTATATGGTAAGATACTTACCTGGAGTGAAGGAAGATGGCCAACCGGGGTTTTCGTACCAAAACCTATCGCCTCTTCGGAGGTTAGCGAATTGCTCAGCTATAAGGCATGATAACGTAGGTCCGAGTATAGCTCCAGGTAATGGATATTCAGATATCGCTGCACTCCATAAATCGATATCATCCACATGTCTGTGACGATAAAAATTAAATAAATGACAAATTCCAGCTGCTTTGAAGAATTTGAAACTGTATACTGAAAATATTTGTCAGAAATGAAGTACTTAATAATATATTCTCCTTCACGCTATCACTTATAAGTTCGGTGGATTTTCTAAACCCTAACATGTTCTTCAAATGAAAATTTCATGAGTTTTCAAAAAAATTAAGAACACATGCAAAAATCTGTTGATTTTTGACGAAAAAACTCTTATAATAAACAAGAAATAAAGTGTTAACACATAGCACAAAAACATCCTTGGGATATCCCGAGGATGTTGCTCGCGGGATATGCGCACATTCTCAGGACATCCCGGAATATCCCGCGAACATCCTAAACACCTCCTCCCGAGTGCTTAATGTCACATCCCGGGATATCCTCAGGACAGCGTCCCATTGACAGCGTGCGGGATGTTATTAGGATATGAATTCCTACTTACTACATCCTCAGGACATCCCGGGATATCCTACTAACCTCCTAAACACATCCCATTATATCCTAAAAACATCCTATCTATGTCCCATCGACAGCGTATGGGATGTTATTAGGATTTAAAGTCCTACTTACTACATCCTCAGGACATCCCGTAATAACCCAGTTTCCTCCTAAACTCATCCTCCCTAGTGCTTAATGTCACATCCCAGTATATCCTTAGGACATCCTATCTAGGTTCCCACCGACAGCGTATGGGATGTTATCAGGATTTGAAATACTAGTTACAATATCCCTTTAACCTCTTAAATACATACTCTCAACTGCTTAATGTTACATCCCAGTATATCCCCAGAAATCTTCTTTATATTCCAGTGAAAGTGTGTGAAGGTGTTGTGATAACCTGAAACTTGCTTATTTTCCACAGACAGTCTCAGGTCCTCCATCTGTGGTTACTATGGAAAAATAAGAAATGTTAAGAATATTTATACAATTTATTTTCTAATTTGAATTTCAATTTATTTAATAATTTGTAAATATATCTAAAACTGAGCAAGAGACTTGAAATGAATTATTAATACAAAATATTATAAGAGAAAATTTTGCTTTAAAGTATTAAAAATCTTTCGATCATTTTTAACCATTCAATAGCCCAAAACTGAATTCTTCGATATATTCATAATTAAATTATTCTACAAATTCAGTTCTGACTTCAGTTAATTTGTATTCAAAATTCAATAATAAAATTAAGCATTTAATAACCTTTAAGTAGTGGACCAGATGTGTGTAAATTTTGAAATTCTGAACTTAAGTCGGTTATGTTGATTGAATCATTATTCATGGCTACAATATGATTAAACAGTTCATGAGTTCGTCTTGCTATTTGCTGTAATGGAGCGGAAGATTTTCTAATCAATTTTTTTATAGAAGATATATAGCTTTCAAATTTAAATGCACTGTAATTATCTAACGGCCCAAACATTTTTACATCTTCGCAAATATGCAGTAGGCCGTGAACATTATGAGCAATATACTGTTTTTCATAATAAAGCCCAAAATTTACTACGAAGAGTTTTAATAGAGACTGTGCGTATTCATCAATTGCCGTCTGATTCTGTATTTTGCATAAGAGTCTAATCGAAATATGAAATAGTAAAAAATGATCATATAGCTTTTTGTTAAATTTAAAAAAAATAAAAATAAGTGGGCTAGTGTACAGTAAAAATTGACGGTATTCTGTAGCTTTCCAGTGTTTCAATTCTTTTAGAGTTGGTTCCTTGGTTTTCTTGCAAATTCAATTGGTACATAAGGCTTTAAAAACTGGTCATTTAAAAAAAAAATTAGTTCAACATTTTTATGTGGTAATCGTGCTTGTAAGGTGCCTCCGCCTATCCTAATAGTAATATTTTTTTTTACTACTCCTAAGCACACAAGGGACATAAAGTCTAACGGAATATTTATTAGTCCTATATTTGGAATATTCCTTAAAATGGGATAATCGTTTTGGTAATCGTCATCAGTCAGTTCTTCTTGAGACATAAAAGTTCATATTTCGAATCACAGTTTGAAATGGAACTTAAAGAATATTTGCTAGCGCGAAAATTCGACACAGTCCTTTTTCATAATTAAATACTACTTCATCTTCTGACGAATCCGATAATATACGTTGATTTATTCTGCTGTAAATCCGTCTTTTAGATATCTGAGATAATTTTTTTTTTTAGTTCTGATCATTTTTGTAGAATAAAGGAAACATTTAGAAACTTACTTTTCACACTCTGTCAATGTAACGCTTGCAAGCGTCAGCAAGTCAGTTCGTAACTGAAAGAGAATTTGGAACGACGGCTATTAACGTTTAGCAGAATAGCTGAATTCTGGAAATCAGAAAGTAAGTACGTGTACTTTCCACTTTGTGGGGTTCTTCAAGGATATCACTATTACGGAGCAATTAAAACCGTTGGGGGCGTTCTTGCGACTTTGTTGTGAAGGGATGTGAAGGGATGTTTCCCTTGTAGGGGGATACAAAAGAAGGGAAGGTCTGACACATAAATCTGCCACGTTAACAAAAGAGAAATCTTCTTGGGGCATCGGCTACAGAAAAAGTGCTCAGAGGTGTTACATTCTGAGCGGAGCTCGGTTTCTCAAAAGCAAAGAAAATTTGAGAAGCAGTTTTACGACCAATGATAATGATGATCAAAACTTTAAGATTTTCAACTTCAATTGTTATTTATAGTATAAAATAAAGTAATAAAACTGCTGAGTTTAAAGAACGCGTTTAATTTAAAAATTAAATCATTTTAATTTAAAGTTTGAACATCTATTTAATCCGTTATCTAATTTTGAGTTTTCATAACAACATTTAACTTTTTCATAACAACATTTAACGTGTTTACTGCATTTTCTGGATGTTACAAATAAATTAATAAAGCAGCAATTATTGTTAAATTATGAGGAGTCATGTAGCATTGTCGGCATAACGTATAAGACTGCAGAGCGCTGGATATATTTTTTTCGCGCTTTGTTTAGCAAAGACCGAATATTTGTATGGTTAAAGAGGTAGCAAAGTGAGGTTTGAGGAGAGTAAGAACTTAATGTTAGTTCTTCCCATTCTCAAACCTTATTTTCCTATTACAGAGAGGTAAAAAATAAGTTACTTCTTACCTCAGTCGCTTTGAAAAACTAATTCTCATTATTAAAGAACTTACCAGAAAATGAACGAAGAAACTGCAATGAATTTTTTAGCCCAATAAAATTATTCTTCTGTTTATAAATTCAAATTAAAGCAAGTTAAACCTCGTACAGACTAGTTTTTAACTGCGTCTGTAAACTAAAATTTCGTTTGTTAAAAAAAAAAATATTGTTACTTATTACTGCACAGCACTAAACATCATTCATTACTAATATAATAGTGTAACAGATCAAAAAGTATTTTTTTTCTTTTGCAGTTTCAAAGTATAGTTATTTCTATGCTAAGAACTATCGATGAATTTAATAGAATACTTTTATAACTTGATATTTCTGATTAGTGCCTCAGAGACGGGTAAGTGATTATATTGACCGATTGCCGTACAGAAGGGCTCAAGTTCGAATGCCATATAAGGCATGGATGCACATCATGCCCATCTGTTCATAGGATAAATGTCTTCGTAAAAGATTTTCTGAGTTAACCTGTAACGTACATAATATTTGTGTTCAAAGATATTAGAAAAGTATCTAAAATAATGTTTACAAAATATATTATGTAGCAATTAGAATTTAATCGTAAACACACTTTCAATATGAAACTCAAAACGGATGAAAACACGTGCCTATAACTTGTAAGAAAGTTCTCTGATCAATAGGCACTGTGAAACAACAAAAAAAAATTTGAAAATATTATTACTTAATATTTACAGCCAACATATACAAGACGAAATCCAGTGTAAGCATAACAATTAAATTTTCATATGCAGAATAGGTAATCCATAGAGTAAGATTTCGATTCTTATAACATGACTTGCGTGTGGTACAAGGTTACTTTAATATTTTCAGATATGAGCTTCCATAAAAAGTAAGTACTGAAGATATCTGAGAAACAACATCCTCAGGAGATCTTCATATATCCCGGGACATTACGACTTGAACAGGACATCCTTAAGATGTTGATTTACGAAGTCCTCAGGATATCTGAAAATCAACATCCTGAGGAGATCTTCATATATCCCGGGACATTGAGACTTGAATAGGATATCCTCAGGATGTTGACTTAAGAAGTCCTCAGGATATCTGAGAATCAACATCCTCAGGATATCCTAACTGCTTCCCGGGAGATTGCGACTTAAATAGGATATCCTGAGGATGTCTTGTGTTATGGGGGGTAATTATTATGCTTTTCAAAATAAGCGGGAAATTGGTTATGAAAATTTCCAAAAAATTTATTAAATTCTATCTTCTACAAAAATACTTATTTTGGAAAAGTTTAAATCGAAATTGCAATTAAATTTTATTCTGAATCTAGTACCTGGGATGTTATTCTCGATCTGAGGACTCTAAGTAACATCATGAGGATACCTATTCAAATCTCAATGTCCCGGGATATATGAAGATCTAGGACGTGATTTTCAGATATCCTGAGGACATCGAAATCAACATCTTAAGGTGTCCTGTTCAAGTCGTAATGTCCCGGGTATATGAAGATCTCCTGAGGATGTTTTTCTCAGATATCTTCAGTACTTACTTTTTATGGAAGCTCATATCTGAAAATATTAAAGTAACCTTGTACCACACGCAAATCATGTTATAAGAATCGAAATCTTACTCTATGGATTACCTATTCTGCATATGAAAATTTAATTGTTAATTGTAAGAGCAAAGGTATGTTATTTATTTTAAAGGAATTTACACTAAATTTTTTACAACTGATTGTATAACATATTTGCTTTGAGAATAATTATGATCATAAGTTTGGTGTCGCCACAGATATTTTTATTATTTAGTTTGTTTTCTAAGCCAGGTTCATGCCTAAGTCAAACTAGGCTCCCATCTTGCACACACAATTAAA